AAGTTGAACTTGCATATGAGCAGTTGATGGTTTGTTCCACAATCAGCTCCTGGCCTTGTTTTGGCTGAAGATATTGAGCTTCTCCATCACCTCTTGCCACATATGTAGTCAGTCTGATTCCTGCGTACTTCATCTGGCGAAGTCTGCATGTATAGCTGCTGTTTGCGTTGTTATCTGCAATGAATAAATCGTTGGTCTTGCAAAATTCTATCACACAATGTCCAGCTTCGTGATATTTCTATCACCAAGGCCCTATTTTCCATCTACCAGTGATTCTTCATTTCCAACTTTTGCATTCCAATCACCAGGGATAATCAGCACATCTTGATTGCATGTTCGGTCAATTTCAGACTGCAGAAATTGGTAAAAATCTTCAATTTCCTCATCTTTGGCTCTGGTGGGTAGTGTGTAAATTTGAATAATAATAGTATTAACTGGCCTTCCTTGTAGGCATATGGATATTATCCTATCACTGACAGCATTGTACTTCAGGGCAGATCTTGAAACATCCTTTGTGTTGATGAATGCCACTCCATTCCTCTTCAATTTGTCATTCCCAGCATAGTAGATCATATGCTTATCTAATTTAAAATGACCAAAACCAGTCCATTTTAGCTCACTAATGCCTAGGATATCAATCTTTATGCATTCCGTTTCATTTTTGACAACTCCCAATTTTTCTAGATTCATACTCATACATCCCATGTTCCAATTATTAATGGATGTTTGTAGCTGTTTCTCCTCAGTTTCAGTCATGCCACGTCAGCAAATGGAGGTCCTGAAAGCTTTACTTTATCCATATCAGTAAGGTCAGTTCTACTATGATGAGGCAGCTCTTTCCCAGTCGTATTTTGAGTGCCTTACGATCTAAGGGGCTCATCTTCTGGCACTGTATCAGACAATGTTTCAGGGCTATTCATAAAATTGTCCAGTAATGTATCAGACAGTGTTTCTCTGCTATTCATAAGGTTTCCCCTGGCCAATTCTTTGAGAAGTGGACAGACTTCTTCCAAGTCTGTCTCAGTCTGGAAGCTCTGCTGAAACCTGTCCACCATGTGCAACCCTGCTGGTATTTGACACACCAGTGGCACAGCCTCCAGCCTCACAGCAACACACAAGCTACCACAGTACAACAAACTAACAGACAAGTTCTTCTCCCTTAGCTGTTCCAAATCTATCTGCCCTCCCCTTACCTGGATCCAGCTGTCGACCCTGGCTTCCTGCTTCCTGCCTTAGGTGGGTGCTCTCTCCCTCTCCCTCCCCTTACCTGGATCTGGCCATCATCGGCCCTGGCTTCCCACTTCCTGCCTCGGGTGGGGGCTCTCCCTCCCCTCACCTGGATCCAGCCATCATTGGCCCTGGCTTCCCACCTTGGGTGGGGGCTCTCCCTCCCCTTACCTGGATCCGGCCATCATTGGCCCTGGCTTCCCACTTCCTGCCTTGGGTGGGGGCTGACTATATAAGACTAATCAGAAAAAAAACCTTATAGTAGCAAACCAACTTAGAATTCATTTGTTCATTCATTCAACACTTCTGTACTATTCAACACTTCTGTCTATGATGTGATAGGGTGCCATGTTAAGCCTTGGAGATAAAACAGTGACAAGACAGGAAATTAACTGGGTTTACAACATCCTCAAAATGTCTATTTTGGACCTCAACCTATGATAAGGAAAAATCTAGCAATCAATTATCAATTTTTTCAAAATATCTCTAGTGGGACTCTGCACAGCATTTCTGCCTGTTCCTTTTGATGACAGTATCCCAATTTTCCCACTTTTCTTTGGGGAACACCTTACTCTTTGGTTTTGAAGGAAGTTCTAGTAACTCACCTTTCCCCTTCCCAAAGGAGTAGATACATGACCCAAGCTAGGCCAATCATTCTACCTCCAGAATTATTCTTGAACACAGAAAGGCACAAGGACAATGAATGGAGTTGATCGCTTCCATGGCAGTTCCTTGAGGAGATGATTCTGATGATTCCTGCTCCTCCATGTCTGGGGCTGTCCTGATCTTTCTCCTTCCAATGGCCTGCCTTTCTGCTATTTCTTTGATTCTGTTAGCCACCAGGTCCACATCCTCCCAACAAACCCCTTTTGGCTTAGGTTTACCAGAATCCATTTCTGTTGCTTGCAATTAAAGAACACTTTTTTGGGGGGGCGGGGGGGGGGGACCTGTGGAAACATTTTTCACATATTGCTAGGACAAACTAGTAAAGTCATTCAGAAATTCAATCCAAGTTCTCATCATCTTTAAGCATTGGTCCCAGGTACTTTCTAGAGCTGGTCTGGTTAATTTGTAAAGTCAGTTAGGTGGCTAGGATTTCAGCTTCATGAAATCCATGAGTGTAACTGTTACAAAAGCTGCAACAATGGACTCAAACATGAAGATGGCCCAGGAACGGACAATGTTTCATTCTGCTATACCAAAGGTCACCATGAGCTGGAGCCAACCCAAGGCAACCAACAACAAAGAGAAGTGAAAACGAGCTTACTTCATGAAATCCATGGGCTGTCAGAATGCTGCGCACCAGGCGACTGTCCGTTCGTATAATCTTGTAAGATAAATGATAGCGTTCTAAAGAAAAAGACAGGATTAAGTTCACCAACCAGAAAGTTAACTGTAGGGACAGAAATAAACAGCAGGGTGGTGGTTTGCTTAATTATGCCAAATAACACCACACTGCTACATTTATCTCAGAAGGAAGGTTGGGCAATCTATTTCCATAGTGATAACGGTCCACTCGGAAACCCAAGGAGGGGTCACTATGAGTGGGATCCGACTCCACAGCAGCAAGAGTTTGGTTTCTTTCGTCGTTACACTTAATGTTACTGTATAGGGTAAGGATTACTCTGGACCAAGGGTCTTAACCTGAGACTCTTCTAGGGCCAGTAAACATGGATAAGGGAAAAAGTTACATCTTTTATTGTAATTGGTTTTGAGTTGAAATTTAACATTACCTTCAGTTATGCATGTAGGTAACAAAGCAGAGCAGTATTAGCAGTATGTGTGACTATCATCAATTGATGAGAGGTATTGCAGTATTACTCTACAGCTGTTTCAGTTATCTCAAAATATCACTTATTCTTACAGTATTTAAAAATTATTATAGATCTTGCTGTTTAATGCATTAATAAAAAAGTACATGCATCACAATTAAATAACTATTTTTATACCTGTAGTTCAATACAGTGGGTTTCTTTTGTAATCATACATATTTCTTTATACGCTTAAAAACACTATTCTGAGATGAGTTCCACAGCTTTCTGCAGACTGATCCACTATACCAAAAAGGTCAAGAACCCCTGGCTCTAAACAGTCCTCTGTGCCCAGTATTTGGTTACCAGTAGATCATAAACCAGAAATTATAAACTGGGAACCCAAGAGCCAAACCCAGCCTGTATACCTGGTTTGTTCAACACCCGTGGATTTTAAAAATAAGATTGAATTGGTTGCTAAACTTTAGGAATGGGAAAATTTCATATAAAAATCTAGGTGTCTGGCTTCTCTTTAGAACCCTGGCAACCCCAGGCTCTCTCTCCTACGACAAGAGTCAACTGGAGAACAACATAGGCTCCCTCAGGACAGGTCTGCTTTCCAACTCAGCACAGTCCCTGCCTGGTCTGCTTCACTTGTTCACATTTCCTGCCAGGCCCCTTATGTAAGCAGCTATGTTTGTGACTCCTGAGACAAAAGTCTGCAATCACATTAAGATTTCTATTTATAGTAAAATGTAAGCCTGAATTATATATAGTGGAAACCTGTCAGAGAAGGAAGACTCACATACTTAGAAAAGTGGTAAGGTGCACACTGACAAAGGCAGAAAAGTCGTGAGAGCCAGAAAAATAAGGCAGCTTCTTCAAGTTCTGCTCTCATAGGTTTCACCGTATATCTGATGATGAACATTGACTTGAAGGGGCCCTGGCTGTGCAGTAATTACAGTGTGTAGCTGTTAACTGAACCACCAGTTGCTCTGAAGGAAAAAGATGTGGCAGTCTGCTTCAGTAAAGATATACAGTCTTGGAACTCTATAAGGCAGTTCTACTCTGTCCAATAGGGTTCACTATGAGTCAGAAGCAACTCATAGCAACAGGCAACATTTACTCTGGACCACGAAAATCCAATCTCTTCCTATGTGTTAGTATTTAAAAGAGTAAGCTAAGAATGCTATAGAACAGTGTTTTAAAACGACTGCATATTGATGGAAGTTGTTAACGGTGGTGAATGTCTTAGTGTGCATGCATTCACCACAATAAAAAAAATAACATTGAAAAACTGCTGAATGAGTATAATACAGAAATTTATGGACAGGTCCTAGAATAATATGCAGTCTCTACAGTCAAAGGCAAGCATTTCTTTATGAATTCATATGAAAACTTTCATACATCCCTGCTGCTACTTGCCCCACACTGGCAGGCATGCCAACACAAAGCAGAGACACCGGAGGAGTTGAACTGAAAAGGCCAGAATACTCCATACTTTGCGGTAGACTTTTAAAGCCCAATTATAGGATTTTCCCAATGACCAATCATTATTATGCCGCCTTTGGAATACTGTTAAAGGAGAAAGGGCAGAGTCATATGGATTAACCCAAGCTCAGAGTATAATGTAAGAAGCAGCCCAGTGCACTGCTTAAGAGTATGTGTTCTGCTCTTGGAGAAATGGCTGATTGCAAGTTGAGGGTGGAAAGTACAAGATGAGCCTGGACTATGTTGCTGTGTCAAAAAAGGAGGAGGTGCCCCTCAGCCTATAAGACTATGAGACTAGAAGAACTTGATGGTGCCTGGCTACCACTGTCAACCGTTCGGAGGGGGATCAATATAGGAGAACACAGATAGAGAGGGAGAACAATGTGGAACAAAACTCAAAATCATTTGGGAAAAAAAAGGGGGGGGGGGACCAGGTTTGCTGGTCTGAGCGAGCCTCATGGAACCCTTGAGACTATGGCTCCTAGCTGCCATTTAGGTCTGGAGTTGAACCCACACCTGTGGCTTTCAGCCAAACAAGAGAGAGGCAAATGAGGTGAACATGTACACTAAGTACATATACTCCTTGGAGAGAACAATCATGGGAGAATAGAAGGGCTGTGTGTGCACAGGGGGCAGAAATGCATGGAGGGAAGGACACAGGGAAGAGGTAACTATGGTGAGGAAGTAGGATGGGAGCTGTTGCATTGGGGTAAATTGTAGTCAATGTCACGAGACAAAGTGTATGTGAACTGCTGTATGGAAAGTGAATTTGCTCTGTAAACTTTCACCCAAATTACAATTAAAAAAAAAAAAGAGGAGGAAGTGCTCAAAAATTTGTGATTGGGGACATGTCACAAGGAATATGAAGGGGCTCCTAATGGCCTAATTTGAGACTATTTGAAAATAAAAATTAGTAATGTCAGAGATGGATTATACCACATTTATAAAAAAGAAAATAACTCACGGATCTACACCACAAAAGAGGTAAGAAGATGTGTTGGTTTGCTATTACTGCTATAAAACATTACTACATGCTTAGCAACTTAAGAAGCCCAGGTGGCACAGTGGTTAAGCACTCTGCTGTTAACAGAAATGTCAGTGGTTCAAAGCAAAGAGTCAGTTCTGACTATCTGGCTGCTAAGCAAAAGATCAGTAGTTTGAATCCACCAGCCACTCCATGGAAGTAAGATGAAGTCTGCTTCTGTAAAGATTTACAGCCTTGTAAAACAGGTGTTGCTACGAGTTGGAATCAATCAATGGCAATGAGTTTGCTTTTTTTTTTTTTTTTTTTGAGTGAGGACAGAGTAGAATCTCCCCATAGGGTCTCCAAGGCTATAACCCTTACAGAAGCTGAGTGTCACATCTTTCTCCCACAAAGCAACTGGTGGGTTAGAACTGCCAACCTTTGGGTTAGCAAGCCAAGCACTTAACCACTGTGCCACTAGAGCTCCTTGGAAATCTGCATGTTGTTCTTAGGCACCTTCAAGTCTGCTCTGACTCACAGTGACCCTATGTACAAAAGAATGAAAACACTGCCTAGTCTTGCACCATCCTTAAAATTGTTGCTATGTTTGAGCCCATTGTTGCAGCCATTGTGTTAGTCCATCTCGTTAAAGGTATTCCTCTCCTTGGCTAACCCTCCACTTTACCAAGTATGATGTCCTTCTTCAGGGACTAGTCCCTCCCAGTAATATGTTCAAAGTACATCATATGAAGTCTCGCTATCTTGCTTCTGAAGAGCACTGTGGCTATATTTCCTTGAAAACAGACTTGTTTTCTTCTGGAAGTCCATGGCATATTCAATATTCTTTGCCAACACCATAATTCCAAAGCATCATTTTTTGTCCAGCTTTCATATGCGTATGAGGCAACTGGAAATACCACAGCTTGGGTCAGGAGCATCTTAGTCCCCAAAGTGCCATCTTTGCTCTTTAACACTTTAAAGAGGGCTTTTGCAGCAGATATGCCCAATGTGATACGTCATTTGATTTCTTGACTGCTGCTTCCATGGCCATTGATTGTGGATCCAAGTAAAATGAAATCCTTGACAACTACAATCTTTTTTTTTTTTTTTTACTTTAGAACAGGAAATTTTATTTTTTTACTTCATGGATGTTACAAATGCAAACTGTAACACTGAAAGAAAATACAGAAGAATTTAAGAAGAAAATTTTGTAAAAGAAAGCAATCTAATTCACAATTTGGATACAAAAACTCAATAGGTTGAGCTATCCTACTGAATTTATTATTTAAATAAAAGTATCAACTACCAAAATCACTACTAATGCCACATCATTGGTTGGGAACGGAATTTGTTATTTTAAGTTCTAGATTTAATTTAAATTCATTTCTTGTTTTTCCAACTCTTGTGACCGTAATTAAACTATGAATTCCACATATCAGTTTCAACTTGTAGTCAATTGTTCTCAGTTCAAAGCAGAAGAGTTTAAGCTTATCTCCTTCCTTACATTTGATGTTATGCCATTTTCCATTCCCCACTACTTCCATCTTTCCTGTATCATCTTGTATTTCATAGATTGTGTTCTTTATGTTCACTTTTTTCTTATTTAACCTAAACAGCCCATACACTAATGTTCCTGATGCTTGCTTTTGAAGATTATCAATCTGGGGAGTTTCTTTTGCTCTTTTGATGATTCTTGTTGGGACCTCAAATTTTTGATCAGGACCAACTTCAGATACAGATGATACTTCATTTATCTCCAGTAATCCTTTGCATTCAAAATAATCTGTTATGGCAATGAAATTTCTAGGGGTGAACTTCTCCTTCAGATTGGTATTAAAAACCTTCACTTGGAAGAATTTATTCTCTGTAACCACCATAGCATGAAACATCATGTTTTTATCCTTTTCTGTAGACTCATATTTAAATGGCTCTGTTGCTTTCAGTACCATCACTATCAATGGGCCCTTTTCAAGAACATGTTTTTTTGGCAGATGCTTGACGTTGGGCCTGCTGTTCCTGATTCTGCACTGCTGGGGATGTGCACCTCTTTCACTCCCCGCCTCATTTAAGGAAGTGGAGGAGCGAGTTGGTGATGAGAGTTGGGGAAGTTGGGGGTGATCCGTAGCTGCAGATGTGCTGGCTCCTGAGGGACAGGGAGGCTGACTCTCCTCCTCAGAAATTTTCTTCTTTTTGGTTATAGCATCCTGCTTGACTGTGTTTGTTCTTTTCTGACCTTCCTTTTTGGTCGTTACAGGTGTTGCAGGACCTGCTTTACTTTGCTTGTTCCTTTTCATTGGAGTTTTCTTTCCTTCAGTTTGTTTTGCAAGGAGCTGCGGTCTGGCAGCGATCCTGAGAGATCCTGATGGCACAGACAGCTTGGAGATTCCCGAAAGCTGGTAGGACCCAAGAATCAACCTAAAAATCAGCCCGCTAGCCAGGGACTGCTCCGGTGGTTGGGGAACAAATGGAGAAGGTGAAGAGAAAGGCAGGCTGAGCTGTGGACTTTTGCTGGTCTGGACGGCGCCGCCATTTTGAAGGTCCAACAACTACAATCTTTTCTCTATCATACTGTTGCTTATTGGTCTTTATGTTGAGGTGTAATCCCTATTGAAGGCTATAATCGTTGATCTTCATCAGTAAGTGCTTCAAGTCCTCTTCACTTTCAGCAAGCAAAGTTGTGTCATCTGCATATGGCAGGTTGTTAATGAGTCTTCATTCCTGATGTCATGTTCTTCTTCACATAATCCAGCTTCTTGCATTATTTGCTATCTCATGCTGGGTTCCCCAGAGAAGCAAAACCAATGAAATTTATATATACAATGTTGTTGTTGTTCTTATGTGCCATCGAGTCAGACCCCCTCCTTGGGTTGCTGAGGCAGTATCACTACAGAAGTAGAATGCCCCATCTTCCTTCCGAGGAGTGGCTGGTGGGTTTGAACCGCCAGCCTTCTGGTTAGCAGTCAAATGCCTTACGCACTATGCTACCAGAGCTCCTATATATACAATAGAGAGAGAAATTTATATATACAATAGAGAGAGAAATTTATCTCATGGAGACGGCTCACACAGTTGTAGAGGCTGGCAAGTCTCAAGTCCATGGATCAAACGTCAAACTGGAGGCTTCTCCTGACTCACAAAACTTCCGGGGCTGATGAACAAGATTGGCAGCAGTACAGCAGGCTGCTGGCTGCTGGAGCTGCTGAATCCTAGATCAGCAGGTAAAATGGCAGACTGCTGGCTCACAGGCTGTGAAGGCAGCAATCTCAAGATCCACAGGCAACACTGCAGCTCACCGCAGTTCAATGATAGGAACTGGAAAAGATGATGGATCAAATGCAGAATCCAAAAGGAGCAAAAAGCCAGAGACTTTTCCCAAAATGTTACCATGTACATTGGAAGCAGGCCTTACCATAAAGGCAATTCCCCTTCAACTGAATAATTACTCATAGCAGATTCTACCATGGAGATGATTACACCACATAGGTCTCATCATGGGGAATAACTATACCACAACTGCCAAGCCACTGAAAATCATGGCCAAGCCAAGTAGAGACACATCGCAACTACCACATCTGCTTAGCATACAGATTGAATAAGTATAGTAAAAAGATATAACCCTGACTCACACTTTTCCTGATTGGAAGCCATCAGTATCCCCTTGTTCTGTCTGAAACTGCCTCTTGGTCTATGTACGTGTTCCACATGAGCATAATTAAGGGTCTGGAATTCTTCACAATATTATCCATAACTAATTATGATCCACAGTCAGTCAATAAAACACAAGTAAACATCTTTCCGGTATGCTTTGCTTTCAGCCAACATCTATCTAACATCAGTAACAATCTCTCTCCTTCCACGCTCTCTTCTGAATTCAGCTTGAATTTCTGGCAGTTCCCTGTCTATGTACTGATGCAACTGCTTTTGCATTATCTTCAGCAAAATTTTATTTGCATGTGTTATTAATTATATTGTTCAATAACTTCCGCATTCTGTTGGATCATCTTTCTCTGGAATGGGCATGAATATGGATCTTTTCCAGTTGGTCGGCCAGGTCATTGTCTAACTGGCATTTTGTCAATTCCTAGAGCCTTGTTTTTATCTATGCCTAAAACAGACTAGTAATAAGGATATGGTAGTCTAGTTCTGAAAAAATTGGCCACTGATAGCCATACAAATAGCAGGGTAACACTCATACAGTGCTAGAAGACAAGCCCCTCAGGTTGGAAGGCACTCAAAATATGACTGGGGAACAGTGGCTTCCTCAAAGTGAATCAACCTTAATGATGTTCACTTACTGATGTTGCACAACTCGAACTGAGAGAAACAGCTGCAAACATCCATTAATAATCAGAACACAGAATGTAAAACCTATGAATTTAGAAAAAGTGCAAATCTGCATACCCTAACCCACTGCTATTGAGTCGATTCTGATTCACAGTGACCCTTTAGAACAGAGTAGAACCATCCCACAGAATTTCCAAGGCTGTATATCTTTATGGAAGGAGACTGCCTAATCTTTCTCCCATAGAGCAGTTGGTAGGTTCGAACCATCAACCTTTTGGTTAGCAGCCAAATGCTTTAACCATACCACCACCAGAGCTCCTGCATAAACTAAAACCTAAACTCACTGCCATCAAGTCGGATCTGACTTATAGCGACCCCTCCTTGGGTTTCAAGGCAGTATCACTACGGAAGTAGACTGCCCAACCTTCCTTGCGAGGAATGGCTAGGTTTGAACCTCCAGCCTTCTGGTTAGCAGTCAAGTGCCTTAGGCACTATGCTACCAGAGCTCCCTAGAGCTCCTGCATGTTGTTGTTGTGCTGTTATGTGCCGTTGAGTTGAACCCAACTCATAGCAACCCATTCTTGGGTTTCCGAGGCAGTATCACTATGGAAGTAGATTGCCCCATCTTTCTTCCAAGGAGTGGGGACTACATATTAGATTCTACTCTTTTATCAATGACAGATTTCCTAAGTGTGATCAGAGAATGTCCTTGTGTTCTTACAAAATACCTACTGAATCAAGTAATTAGGGGTGAAATATTTTAACTAATTCTGAAATAGTTCAGAGCAAGAAAGAGAAGCAAATATAGCAAAATTTAATAATTGGTAAATCCAGGGGAAGAGTGCACATGTGGTTATTGTACTATTGTTGCAACTTGTCTAAAGTTTTAAAAATTCCTTAATAAAATGTTTAGAAAAATGAAGAAAATCAGATCTTTCCATTATGATAACTGTGATCATTAACCTCTCCATTCTTGCATATGCAAAAGTCAAAGCATCATCAACTATGCTGTTACATCTAGAGAAAATGACTGCCAAATTCTGTGCTGGAGGAAATAATGAAAAAAGAATATGGTTCCAGAGCTGGATTGCCAGGATAAAAATCTTGGCTCTACCACTGCCAGACTCTAGTCTTGAATAAATTATTTAATTTCTCTATGCTCAGTTTCCCCATCTGCAAAATAAAATTATTCAAGTCAATGCAATCCGAATCCAGATCCCAACAACTTTCTTTAAAGATATATGGGAAAACCAACGTTCTGGTTACCTAGTGCCGCTCTGACAAGAATATAGCACAAATGGGATGGTCTTAACAAACAGGAGTTTATTCCTACCATTTGGAGGCTTTAAGTCCAAGTTCAAACTGCCAGGCTCTAGGGGCTGAGTGAAAGCCCCTCAACCTTGGGGTCCAGCTCTGCCTCCTGCTCCCGGCCAACTGGAGC